CCTTTCCATCTCTTTGAGCAATATCAAAACTAGCCACTAAATAATCATCATCTTTGTGTAATTTGTAAATACTGAAACAACCTTCAGCTTCTATAAATCCTACCAATCAAGCGGGAAAATAAGAAGCACTTGTAATAGATTCTATCGAATTTATAGGTTTACTATCTCTAATATATTTAGGTAAATCCTCTGAATATATAGTACCATATAATAGTGCGTCTTTAAATCTTAAGTAATCAAGTTGTTTATTAGAAAACATAGGGTATTTATCAAAAATAGGTATAATAAATTCTTTTAAATGGTCTTTTTTCCTAATTCTTAAAGATACCATTTCAATTTCATTTCTTGTTCTAAACCTTACTACACCTACACCTAAAAGATTTTTAATTTTATATATCAATTGAACGTCTTTAATAGACAATTCAACACCTAATTCATAGGCTAGATATTTACCTTTTTTTGTAACAGTAAAATAACCGTCACCTTCAAATAAACCTACTAAATAAGCATATGAGAGATCTTTTGCATGTAGTCTCTGAGAGGCTTCTGAAGTGTGTATACTTCTCACCCCTGCTGATTGTCCCCATGTCAATGCAATTTTTACGTAAATAATTGTTGTTAAAATCAAGAATAAATCGTATGCAAATCCTAAATTGGGGGATTTTCCAGCATTAAGCAAAATTTTTAACATTACGTCACCGTAATGTGGTCCAACTGTGTTTAAACCACCTCAAATAAATTCAACAATATCTTGTCCTACTCAAGGGATGGCACTCATAAGGTTAGTAATAACAGTAGCACCTCATAGTGACATTTGACCATAAGGTAAAACGTACAAATTTATTTAATATAAATGTAAAGGCATATATAAAAAACTAGAATAACTTTGAATTCGTTTATTCTATTAGCTATAAGTATAACTAAAAATTTCGACTGTGCATTAAGCATCATTTCAGACACCCATTAGTGACCCAGCCTGTCGCGATCATATAGATAACCGACGATCTCTAACTTTTAATCCTACATTCATTTTATTTAGTTTAACCTTAATCTAAATAAAGAAAGATTAAAAATTCTTTGATCGTGTTCACTAACATTGCCAAAGAAGTTTAAATACTTCTTCAATAGCCCTGTCGGACCATTCC